CTTACTTGCCTGTGGCATGAGCCCATCTTCAAGCCCATTTCTCACTGTGCTGTGAAGGAGGCATCAGTGAGCTAAAAGGCTGCAGTGCAGCTTAAATCAGAAGCACTTGCTGGAAGGAAGGGCACCGGGCAGGCTGCAATAGGCAGTGTCTGTGCACACACACGTAAGGGGGGACGCCACATGTACGTCAGTATTTTTTAAGTGGAGTTTAATTGTTTAAAGGCTCTTCAATGAATAATAACTTACTGGAGTATAAGAAACATCAGGTGATGGGGCTGGGGAGATGGTTCAGGGGAATAAGGGCTTCCCTGGCAAGTGCAAGGGCCTGAGTTCAATCCCCAGTTCCACAAAAAAAAAAAAAAAAAAAAGGAAGAAATACCAGGTGAAGGGCCGACAAGACAGCTGTGCAGACTGAGGCCCTGCTTAGGCAAGCGCAGGGACCAGGGTTCAATTTCCAGTACCTCTGCCTCGCCGGTCCTGCCCCTGGTGCACTGAGCTGGTGACAGAGTCTGGGCAGGGTGGTGCACCCCTGTAATCCCAGCGCTGCAGAGGCTGAGACAGAAGGATCATGACGAGTCTGAGCTACGTAGTGAGACCCTGTACAAAAAAAGAAAAAAAAAAAAAGAAGAAGAAGAAATACCAGGTAAGAAGGTTGGTTTTAGTGTGTCTGCAAGACTTAAAACAGAATTGGAGGTTTTCCTAAGTTTAAAAAAATTTTTTTTTCTTTTTTCTTCACAGAACTGGGGGTTGAACTCAGGCCTTTGCACTTGCCAGGCAAGCGCTCATCTACTGAGCCATCTCCCCAGCCCCCTAAAATTGTTGTCTTTATTGATGAGGATTTGCAGCACGGCTGGGTTCCCGTGGGAGGTGGGTGTGTGCATAAGGCGACTCCATTCTTGCTGCTTCAAGTCCACCCCACTGCCTCCACCTCTTGGTCTTCTTTCCATTTGCCAAAGATCTGCCTCCCTATTTCCTATCATCTAACTTTGATTTTTGGTCTTTATTTAAATTTTGGGCTTCCCATACAAGAGAAATTATTCAATATTGGAGCTTGTGTGTCTGATGTCACTTAACACTATGGTTGCAGGGTGCCTCCATTTTGCTACAGATGGCTCAAGCTTATCCCTTTTTTTCTTTTTCCTGGAACTGGGGATTGAACTCAGGCCCTTGTGCTTGCCAAGCAAGCGCTTATTCTACTGAGCTATCTCCTCGGCCCCAAGCTTATTCTTTATGGCAGAGTAATACTCCACTGTGTATAAATACTACATTTTCTTTATTGGTTATCTCAATTTTATTCTTTTTTTTTTTTTTTTTTTGATACAGAGTCTAGCTATGCAGCTCAGGCTAGGTTTGAACACCCACAGCAATCCTGGGATTACAGGTGTGCATCACTGTGCCTATCCCAATTTTATCTTACTTTTCATTTAAAAGCTAGTAACCACACAGCTCGTGAAATAGTAAAATACTGCTAAGATAAAAACACAGCCCAAGCCTCTAGGAAAAATATATAATTACCTGCTGTAATTCTCTAAGCCGGGGGAAAACTTGACACATTACCAGGAAAGCGAATCCCACTCCTACTGCTGTTAGATGCACCTGTGGAGCCACGCCCACCTTCCTTCCCCAAGCAGCAGGCCCCTCTGGCTGTGAGGACGTGCAGTGTTCCCTGCAGAGTGGCGGTGACTAAGGCCGAGGCTCGCTCCCACAAGCCGGGCGTGGGTGCGGGCACTCAGACACCGCGGTGCTGCGGTGCCGCCCCCGCGAGTGAGCGCATGCCTCGGCCCCCGCGCAGGCCGGTGGCCGACAGGTGAGCGTGTGCGTGGGCTGCTTTATCTCCACGGGCGGGTGCGCGCTCCGAGGGGCACAGTGGGGTGTTGTGGAACCAAAGGGCGGCCGGGAGTGCCCGCGCCCGCCCGAGTGCGTGCGGAACAGAATCCGAAACACAAGGGCTTCCCACTCAGCATCAATATCCTTCAAAGACTTTGTGCTTGCTGTCAGGAATCGAACTTAGGACCTTCAGCTCGCCAGACAATGCTGCGCCGCAGAGCCATCTGCCTGCCCCGCCCTTCCAACATTTTCTTAGAGAATCTGATTTCCCCTGGAGTGTGCACTTGCGGTCTGCTAGCGGCATCAACTCCAGGCGGCCGACCCTACAGGTCCTAGTTAGGGACACCTTGGAGGAGGGTTCTGGGCAGCCCCAGTCCAGTCTTCCATGCCCTTCTCCACTGAAATGTCTCAAGTTTCAGTGACAGGATTTCTTCAAAACAGTAACCAGTGACGGGTATTTAATTGCACCTCACTGGCAGTTTCCTGATTTGGAATTTATTTGAACTTTTATTTTTCTTTTCTCTGTTTTTTCTTTTTTTCTTTTTGTAACAGGGTCTTGCTATGCAGTTCAGGTTGGCCTTGAGTTCACTTTGCAGCCCAGGCTGATCTTGAAGTTGCAAAGATCCTTCTGCCTCAGCCTGCCGAGTGCGGGGATTACAGGCATGCACCAGCACACCTGGCTTCCCTCCTTCATTTACAAAAGCCTTGTTTCCATCTTTATCTTTTCTCGGTTTTTTTTTTCTCTTCCCTTCCTTCCTTCCCACCTCCAGTTCCCTTCCCCATTTGAACATTTTTATTGCTAGGAAGGTGACAGAATTCGGCCTTGCTATTTCCATCACACTCACGTCAAGATTGACAAGGAGCACTCAGCAGGTCCGCGGGGCTGTTAGGGGCAGCAGGTGCTTAGCCACACAGAAACTGGCTCTCGGCTTTCCTCCCAGCTTCGTTCCTCAGAGCCGAAACACAGGCATGGCTGCGGGGGTGAGGCTCTGCTCCTGAAAGCCTGCTGAGGTAGGGCCTGGCACAAGGGCCATCGACTGCGGGCACATCGATGTGACACATCCAACCCAAAGGGACCGACCGGCTTCTTAGTGCTTGCCTTGGGCTGGGAGTGGAGGGGCCAGGAATGCTCAGGGGCTCAGGTTGGGAGTAATAAAGATGTTCTGGGATTACAGGAGGGCGATATTGCGCAACTTTATAAATGTAATAAAAATTGTGCTCCTTAAATGGGCGAAGGCAGGTGAATTATATTTGAATTTCTTTAAAAAAAAAAAAAAGTGAAAAGCAACTTTGTACTGGATCCTATCTGCTAAGGACAGCCCAGGGAGCCAGGGACACGTGACACGTGCGGTGTGGTGGGTTCTTTGTCTTCGGTTCCCCAAGTGCCCCCGAATGGAGAAAGTGTCCAGACCTCAGCTACAGGCAGAGCGCTTGGCGCCACCCAGCCCTTGCAGGAGCACCCAGCTTGCTCTGGGTCTTTAGGGCCACTCTGAGCATGACCCAGGTTGTGTGTGTGTGTGTGTGTGTGTGTGTGTGTGTGTGTGTGTCCAGCTCAGTCTGCCCTGAGGGCAGCACTGGCATGGCGTGTGGTTCCAGGTATCGAACCATGGTCTCTGTGCTTGCCTAAGCAGGCATTTTAGGCTGCTGAGCTATCTCGCTGCTCCATGACTGGGGACAGGTTCTTGTCCCCCACCAGGAACCAGCTCCACCTAGGCCACCCCCCAGTCTCACAGCCAAAGCCTCTTCTGCCTGCACTTCAGGCCCTCCCGCCACGGCTTTACTGCAGACAGTAAGCACCTGACGCACGGCTGGGGGACAGCTGAGAGCAGAAGTGCACCAGATAGGGGAGTTCTGGGCTTCCAAACGTGGTTTTCTCCCATAGATGGGGGGGGGGTCCTTTAAGCATTTAAGCTTTATGTTTTGCAGAGTATTCTATGATGAACAGAAGTCTAACTTACAAATCCTTGTTTTTAGGGGTCAGGAGATGGCTGAGTAGGATAAGTGCTTGCCTGGCAAGTGCAAGGGCCTGAGTTCAATCCCTGGTTCCGCAAAAAAAAAAAAAAAAAAGAGAACAAATCCTTGTTTTTTTAAGAGCAGAATATATTCAGTGGGGGAAAGAAAGCTTCTAAGAGAGGGACAGAGGGGGACCCAAGTGGGTTGCCCAGGAATCTGTTTTCCAGGGATTTTTAGAGCAAAACCATGTGGTGAGGTGGTCTAAGGTGATCGTGGGAGCTCGCACCTGAGGTGGGACAAAACTATGGCCAACCAGAAAAATAACTACAATTGCTCAGATAAATTGATTAAATTGGGATCAAATGGGGAAGCGAGTCACGCAGCAAGCAGACTCGGAATACAGAACAGAACTGGAGATTTTCCCGTAACAGCTGGGTTTAGTGATTCTTTTAGGCTTTTTGAAGGCGACCATATCTATTTAGAATATCAATCCCTGATGTCAATCCCTAGGGAGGTATGTGGCTGCATTTATTTAATCTTTTGTTTTGAGGTCTGGCCCACAAAGTATCTTGTCTTCTACACTGTCTCCTTGAGGGCCTGGCCCTGTCTGCCTGTGGTGTTTCTATTTATTTCAGCTCCCTACAATACTCCCCTGAAGTGATCCCGACTGCTGTGAGGAATCATGCGCAATGACTGCTCCGGCTTCTTCAGGCTGAAAGGGGCTGTAGCTGTCATAGGCAGCCAGAGATACTCCACATAGGGTCTATCTGAAGGCCCCCACGCACTGCCATTTTGGGCAGGAACAGCCTTGCGTACTCAGGACTGGTGGGCAGGGCTCTGATCCAGGCTTTCCTGCCCTTGGCTCCAAGGCGTGGGAGAGCGGCCCCAGGCTCCTGGGTATCGATGCCCTAGGGGCCTGAGCTACCCGGTTCTTCCAGGGCTTACATCTAGATAAGGACTATTTCTTAATGCAAACAAAATCTGCAGAGGCACTTCTGACCATTTTCCTTCTTTTTAACATATCTTTCTAGTTGTAAAATAGTCATTAATAAATATTTTCCTCTATATTTCATTTTGGATCTCCATCCAATGATCCTAGTGGACAACCTCCAAATGACAGAGTGGAATGAAAATCCCCAACCTGAAAGATACCTGAGACAAGTGGTGTGCTTGTTCTCTAAAACTGAAGAATGAATTTTAGGAACAATGGAGGTTAAAAACAGAATTATCTTTATTGGAGAAAAAAAAAAAAAGCTTCCAGCTGAGAGTGGGACAGAAGGGTGTGGGTTGCCCTAACTTGCAAATCTTGACCTATTTCAAGGAAAACATTTGGGCATCCTAAACAGGTTTTTTTGTTTGTTTTTTCCGGTACTGGGGATCAAACTCAGGACCTTGTGCTTGCCACACAGGCACTTATGTCACTGAGCTATACTCCCCAGCCCTCAAGAAAACTTTCAGTAAACAAAATTCAACTGACAGCAATGAACACAGAAACTTACTTTGGGACTTTGTGGCCGCTGCCACACTACCTTCAACTCCTCCTCCCAGAGTCCAAAGAAAGTGGACACACCCTAGAAATGTAGCAGAAGCACTTCCGCACACTGGTGTCCAGACTCTAGTCTGTACAGAGGTGTTTCTGCTAGATTCATAGAGTAATCGCAGACGGAAGTCATTGGGTGGCCCTGCGGACCTTCTGCAGCTCCTCGATCGGCTTCCACTCCTGGTTGATTGTTATAAGCTGGTCAGAGAGAGGAAACAAAGCTTCACTGAGGATCTGTCTCCACCTCCCCTTAGGAAAAGCAGGGCCGCAGCGTGTGTGTCACAGAACTCCTCTCCCTTCTCTAAAAGCACGTGCTGCAGGGGAGCAGGGGCTGATTCTGGTAGCACCTGGGCTAAGTGTTATGGCATCCAGCCCCACGGTGAGACGCGACACGTGACTCACCACTCACCGCTCACCCACCCGCCAGGCAGGGTCCAATTGTGAAGGTGGGTGTGAGCTGTGAGCTTCAACACCCTCCCTGCGCCCTGGGGCTTCTGCATGGACTGGCACCCAGGGGCTCCTGAGACCTCCTCATCCCACCGGTCCATGGGGCTGAAGATCTACACCATCAAGGAATGGGGGCAGACCTTCAGATGGGCCCGATTTCCAGAAATCTGGAGTGTTCTAGCACCCTGGGTCCTAGGGGGTGCAGGCACTCAGAGACCCTCACTGTTCCTCTGAAGGTCAAATAACTACCTGGGAGTTTGTACTTTAAAACAGTCTCCTCCCAATGTTCAGGTTGCCTGTTCATTCCAACAGACCTGTTCTTAATGTCCAAAGTTTTTAAAGACATAAAGGGTCTTAAAGAATTTCACTTAAATAGGACACCTCCAAGAGCACCTAGCATTTCTCAAAGGTCTAATATTAACTTTACAGACGTACCGTGATTGGAATGAGATCACATATTTCAATAATGATTAGAGTTTACTTTGCGTTATTATGGGCCACACCTGGTGTGGAATGTTCTGATATTTTCTCTACCCTTTTGCCTCTGAGGTAGAGCAATTACCACGCCCGTTCTATAGATTCTGAAATCACCCGTGAATAACACAGCAAGGATTTGGATTAGATCAAGGCCAGTCCTGAACGCTACATCTAGTGTGCTCTGCAAGGTGCCATCTACTGGGCTGAGGGGGTGGCAAGGATGGGCCTCAGCATCACGTAGTTGTCACCAAGCAATACCTTCTGAGGTATGTTGGGATCCACGGTTTCCCAAGGCTCTGGGTTTCTTTTCCGATCAATACTGGAAAGAAAATAAAGCCAATTAAAAGGTGAAGGACATGAATTGAAATGAACCCCAAAGCAGGTCCATACACGTGCTAGAGACAGAACCAACCTCCCCAGAGGGCCCCTGCTTCCTCAGATGCCAGGAGACTGGGTCTGGTCTCCTCACACTCACAGGTGAAATCAGGTTCACCGTGGAAGCTGGATGTATCAATTCTATCACATTAGGAAAGAGCATTCTAATAAATTGAGATTTATAAATATAATTAAAATGGTAGCATCAGATGACTCACATTTCCTACAAATGTTTATTTTTTCATTTATGTATTTGGTACAGGGTCTCACTATGCAGCTCAGACTTGTAGTGTGATCCTGTTTCCAGCCTCCCCAGAGCTGGGATTACAGATGTGTGCCACATCTGGACACACCACACCCAGTGGCTGGCTCAGCGTGCCCCAGGGGTGGGGCCAGCACAGCCTGCGGGGAACCCCATCCCTCCATCCCTCGAATAATTTAAGAACTTTAAAAATCTTGATTTAAGCAGCTGGGCGTGGTGAGCCACACCTGTAATCCCAGCACTCAGAAGGCTGAGGCAGGAGGATCATTTCAGTTGGGACCAGCCTGGCAACTAAGTGACTCAAGGCCAGCTGGAACTGCATAGTGAGACCCTGTCACAAAAAGACAAAAAAAAAAATAAAAAATAAAAATCTTAGACTTCAGTTTACAAGTATCAGACCTTCAGGGAGCAAAAGGGTTTTCACCTACACACAAGGAAGAGGCCAGTGTCCCTAACAGGACTGAGTCATCTTTCAGACATCAGGATGCTTTTGAGTCCAAGCCCACAGGCTGACCTTAGCCTCCCTGAACAGGAAGCCGACCTCACGCCCGCCCAGCTCGCCACCGCCGCAGGACAGCCCCACTCACATCACGTCAGTTTTCTGAAAGGAGTACACGGCAAAGGACGAGGCTCCGCAGGCCGCCATGGTCACGAACAGCGCCAGCGGGATGAGCTGGGGACAGGAGGGAGCTCAGAGGCGCAGCTGCAGCTGCCCGCAGGGGCAGGCAGGACCGTGCGTGTGCGCGGGGTGGGGGCGCGTCTTGCGTGTGGGGTCTTCAAACTCTACCATCATCTAAAGGGAACCCTTCTAGGCAAGACCTCCCATCTCTTTGAAAGCTAACTTCAAAAAATAAAACAAAATAAAAGCTTACCTCTTTCTTCTTCATCAGGATTTGCAAAACACCCATGATGACTTCAGCGCAGAGTGCCAAATCTAGAAGAAAAAGCAAAAATCCAAGATATTGCTCAGGACTTGGGCCGCTGGGACCCAACCCGGTGGGCTCCAACCTGGCCAGATCCTAACCTGGGGTGGAACCTCCTGTGCTGGGGCGCCCACCTGGGGGCCGGGCTGGGCTGGGCTGCCCACCTGGGGGCCGGGCTGGGCTGGGCCGCCCACCTGGGGGCCGGGCTGGGCTGTGCTGGGGTGCCCACCTGGGGGCCGGGCTGGGCTGTGCTGGG